AAATTGTGAGTTTAAATGATCTCCACCAACATGGCAGACAACATTACAATTAAAGTTATAGATGTATTTGGTAATGGAGAATGGCTTAGGTGGAACTTTGTTTCCATCTTTATTTTATTTATTATTAAGTCACTGTCAATTGATGCAAGGTCAGAGTAAAGCACTTTTAAGCTAACTTGGTATCTTTGAGAATACAAGTCTGGTTGGTAAGATTAACAGGGTTGCTATGGTTGACTTTAAGACCATTGACTCTTAGCTTGCACCCCCTTTTGAAGAACAAACAAGGCAGCAAAAAGTCAACATGACCGATGTTAAAAGGATTAAAAGGAGTTTATTGTAAGCTTTAGAAAGGAAATTAATCAGGGAATCATCATCGAATGGATGTGTTTCTAATTGGGACATGCAGAAATCAGAGTTTGTCTCTGTTTTGTTTAGTATTTACGTCAGATACCTGAAAGAAAATGGCAAATGGTCACTGGTGAAATTGTCAGGTGAAAGAAAAACTGCGGAAATGACTGAATTACGAGATCAGATTGCTGATTCAAAGTGACCGTAATCACTTAGGAAGCCAAGCCCATGCCAACAGTCTGTATTTTAAGGAACAGTCAAATGGCACTGTATTCCTCTGGGAATAATATTTATGCAAAATAGTTACAGCACGTGGAGCTGCTTCCTAAGAAGTGACTCTGAAAAGGACTTGTGGGTCATGGTGTAAAAATGGTAGAACTGGAGCTCCGAGTTTCAAAGATTTGGTGCTATCCATGCATTTATTTACAGAAGAAAGAGTTCTGTTACCTCTCTCTTTAGCTCTGATATGTCCATCGCTGCAACACTATGTCCATTAACCAGAATTCAAAAAAAAATGATAAATGGTTAGAGGGATTTTAAAGACTGTCAATAGTAATTACAAACATGGAAAGTATAACTTACAGTGGCAAATTCAGGAAGCTTTTTAGTTTTTGAAGGAGATATCAAAGGGATGATTTGATCATAATCTGTCAGTGTTTGCATATCCCAGGCCTCTGTTTAATAAAAGGAATTTGGAAGTGATATGATTGGAAGCTGTGGAGGGAATCATTTCAGTAGTCTCTTACTGAGGATGATTGCAGAAAGGGAGGTGAAGGCTTTGATGCCATGTGGAAGTCTGTTCTAGACCTGCCTTTGTCATGGCTTCTTGTGGGATATTAAACCAAGTGCCGGCAGTTAGTGCTCCTTTTTTTTTATCTTCCCCTCCGCCTTTTTGTAAAAAATCAGTTATTGTTGCAAATGGTTTTGGTATAGAAAAAAAAAGAGGTAGGAAAAGAAGTCGGAATCTGAGCGCAAGGTGAATCAAGTTTTAGATCTATTAGCAGAATTATACAGAGAAACTTGCCTCTTTTCTACATGACTGAGCAAGCACTAAGAAACTCTTTCTGCTATCCCTCTCTTTGTAATAATAATAATAAAAAAATTTTGAATGGAAAACCTGAGGAGTTGCTCTTAATAGCTCTCCACATGTAAATACGTGGTTGGCAGAACCTTGCTAAAATAACCTTAGGGCACAGAGCCAGGCTTTCTGTGCAGCTTGCGTATGTAGCTTTTGTAACCATAAGTCAATGTTAAAGCATTAAAAACAGAATTTATATGTGTAATGGAAAGATTTAAAGTATACTTGCTTTTCTTTCCTCTAGCCTGGGAATTTGAAAAAAAGAATGTTTTTCACTTGAAAAAAAAATACACCAAGAACTGCTTTGTTTTTTTTTAAGGTTCTGTTAAGGAGCAAAAATAGCTCTTAGGTAGTTACTTCTCCATATGTTGAATTGTACAGGAGGAAAAATAGATCCAAAGTATTTAGGAAAGAAACTACATTAGTCATGAGGGATGTTGACACCAGCATGCCTTTCACCATCCAGATTTCAAGTTTTAACTTGCTTCATTGCTTCTTACCGTCAAGAGTAAGCATGATGCAGAAAGAGTCAGTTTTTGGAAGAAGTTGGTAGTAGCTCTGAGGTTATCTGAGAAATAAATCTAGATAGTGATCGAGGTTATACCCTGTGAAGTCATTAGGTCCCTACTCTTATGAAAGCAATTGTTTAGGTGTGGTTATTTCCTGAGTTTAGTGTCATATCTACAGCAGATTATTCAGGGATGTATATTTTTATAAGAAAACAGGAGTAGTACAAGAAATAAAGTATAGGCTATATAAGATTTTTTTTTTTTGCTGCTAAGACAAAACAAGAAATTAGTTCAATTAAATTAATATTAATATTTAATATCAGAATAATGTAATTGCTATCACTTTGATTTCCACATCAAAAATCTTGGTTATAAATATCAAACTGGGAGCTGCGTTCCTAGTGGTTCTGAGGTGGTAATTCAGCTTACAGTGTATGTGGGAAACTTTGCTGCATTTGCAGAGGTGGTGGATTTCTAGCGAGACATTAAAATGTGGTCCCTCCTGTCCAGCTCTGCCATGGGCTGAGGAAGACTGGAATCGAGTTCTTCGGGAAGAGAGAAGTGGGAATTCTCTCTGTGTTAAGTCCAAGTGCGTTTCTCAAGGTCTAGCTGGAAAAGAGGAATTCCCACTCGTTTTTACTTTGTGTTGACTGGACTTTGTTAGCAGCACTGCTTTCCCTAGGGTCTGTTTTCTTTCTTCTAGTTCTTGAGGCTTTCTCAAGGACTAAAAATGGCTGATTTCCTCTCTGGCAGCTAAACCAAGTAGCTTTCCTTTTGGTCTGAGCTGGGAGCAGAGAGTGAGGAGGATCTATCAGTACAGTGTTTCTAGAGGTAAATAGCAGCAGAATAACGAGGGCCCCTTTTCCTGGGCTTATATTTCTCTTTGTTCTGACCTTCTCCCGTTGTCAGTCACTGATACGGTTGGCAGGCTTTTTAGCCTGAGAAACAAAAACTCTGCTTTCATCTACATCTTTTCCCGTCTCTATCTCAGCAACATCAGCTGTACTATTGTATCTCTGTATTTGAACTTTTCTCTGATGTGCAGCATAGGTAGGAGACAGACTGTGAATTTCTTGTTTTTCTTGGGATTTTGTGGCAATTCCACATTCTTCTAAATTTGGAGAGAACACCCTCCCCCCCCGCAAAAGAAAACCCCCCCCAAATCTCTAGCAAGTAGTTTAAAAAGTACCTAGGATATTTACTTCTTAGTCATCTAGATCATGAAAAATGTTCTGAAATACCTGTTCCCACTCTCATCTGACATGTAACTTCCAAATCTTACTGTAGTCCTTGGCAGAGGTGTCTCAGAGGAGTAATTGCACTAACTGCCTGTTGTCAGCAGAAGACTATGTAATGTAATTTAAGTAGCTGCTTTATTTTATTCTCACATTTTTCTGGCTGTGTATTGTTCTTATCTGAATGTACCTGTGTTTATTTATAAAGTATCTGTTCAGGAGGCTAAATTACTCTGCCTAGCAAGAGCCAAGTCATCATAAGGAAGGTAACGCACAGTGTGCATCAGGCTTGTGTAGAGCAGAACTTATAAATGCGGTTGCTTTTCTCAACAGAATTTTTATGTTACTTAGCAATTCCTTCTTGTTTTTCCTATTTCATTATTATTTTTAGCATTCTCAGTCTATATACTGTCCTGAGATTAAATGCTTGTTCTTATAAGAAAAAATAGTCTGCTATTTACAGAGGGATACAGATGGATAATAATACATATGATATTGTTTAACATCCAGATTAAAAATCTCAGTCAAGTACCTATCTGTTTCTTTGAGCATGGAAAGGAAGAATTGAATGTTACGCTGTTGTTATTGTCATCTGCTGCTAAATACTTTAATGTGTTGGTGAAATCAAACTTAATTATCCACTACATTACTTTTATAGACACACGCTGATCTAATTTGTTTTTAAGGTTTAATGAAGAAACTAGAAGAGGAGATAAATTTCAATTCATACCTGGTTACAGAAAAAATACCTAGAGAGCTTGCAATTAAGAAGAATGCAGCATATTTCTTACAAAAGGTGGTTGCAGAGCCAGCTATGAGTCAATCTGATCTCGATACACTTGAAACCAAGGTAAGTTGACCAAGTTCACACTTAGTTTGTGTTCGGTAGCATAGCCTAAGGTTCTCGTACACTGTAGTTTGCTTATCCCTACTTTATCCTTGAGAAAATGTTTCAGTCCCAAAGGAACATCCTTTGAGGTGTAAAAGAAAAGATGTGTTAATCAAACTCTCAGATAATTTAAAAAAAAAAAACCAAACAGAAAACAAACAAACAAAATCCAACCCAAACCCAACCCTATCCTTAAATGCTGTTTAGAAAATTGTGTTGGCAGTTGGCAATGGTATGAGCAGAGAGATTAATTTAGCACTAAAGGTTTGATTTTTCTTCTCTTTGGTTTTCACTTGTTTTAAACTCTCGCGGACATCGAGGGAGTTTATACCAGCATATAGAGTGTTTATGGAGTGGTGAACAACATCCTCTGAGTGATACATCTTCAGTGATCTTATGTCTTAAAGTGCAATGGCTGAGAGCTCCTCAGTGTTTGGAATAGGTCTGGATTGTTTGTTTTAGTTGGTAAGACCAAAGGAAATTTGAGGATCAAATACTTGATTTACCCTTCCAGATATTTTCAGAAGTTAAAAGCAAATGGTGTTAGAATAAACAAAAATTCTTATTTGTAGTACCTAGCCAAAATGTGCAGAGGGATTTGCTGCCACAAAGTACATTTATATATTTCACTCAGTAAAGTTCTCATATTTGCATAATCCTAAATGAAAGATTAAATATGTAATATTCTTCTCTTGTCAGTTGGTTTTTAATATTCCCAGGATCTCCAGCTTGGGCTTTGCTGTGAAATACAGATAATGAGGAAACAGAGTATTTGTAATAGATCAGAGCATGAGGTACCCAGGGGCAGGAGGGCTGCCATCCACCGTTCTTCTTGGGCCTTGGAGCGGAGCGAGGTTCAACGACTGCATCGCATCATAGCAGCCTGTGTGTTCGCACATAGAACGTGCCCAAGGAATGTAATAAAGAAATGCCTGCAGGGTTGTTTGGATCAGACGAGAATCAGCAGTCATCAAGAATACATTCTATTTTAAGTTTTTGTAAAATTAAAATCGGTGACAGCCCAATGCCTTTTTGGATCCCGATCGTTATACTTTTAAGGATAACAGCATTATTAAACTGTAGGTTAGGTCTGAAATAATAATCTAGTGCTGTGATTCAGCTTCTGCTTTCCTAGTTTATTTCTTCTAATCAAAACAATAGTCGTGGTTGCAATTATTTCTTCTAGGCATAGTCGAAGCCCTGTTTTGCACCTTTCTTTTTCAAGACTATTGTTGGGGTTTTGGCAATATTTTAAAAAGCTTCAGGGTTTGTTGTTTTGTGGGTTTTTTTTTTTTTTTTTTTTTTTTCTCTTTCTCCATGAGCTAACCTTTTAATTTGTTGTAGTTTGGAAGTATGTTCTTCTTAATAGATAACAAAAACATGTCATATACTTGGCTGTTATCACAGCATGGCCTTAGACACCATTTTTTTTAAAGGCAGCTTTCTATTATCTCTGTGTCCTAAAAAGCAGCTGAACTGCATTAAGCATGCTACTATCATGCATTTTACAATATATAAAACAGGAATTTATTTAAAGAAGGGAATTCTTATGCTGTCTTCAAATTCAAAAGCCTCTTCTAGCTTTTGAAAGTATAGAATTTACAGGAGTTTTTTTTCCAGTGTTGGAGTATTTTTAGTCCTGTTGAGCACTTTATTTGAAATACTTGGCTTTCAGAGTACACGGATATTGCTCAGAAATGTCGGGGTAGTGCCCAGCGCTGTACCTGCGTGACGTTTTGGCTTCATTGGATTTCTGCACATATTTACACTGCTTGCTTATCAGCACTCATCTAGTTGGCAGAGAATTAAAGGAAGGTTGCTAGGGCTGTGGTTTCCATGGCTGATGAGAGTCCCAGTGTAGCATTCAGTCAGGACTGGGAAAGCTGGAATCGGTATACTGGTGTAGCTGCTCATGAGCTTCCAGATGCAGTAGGCTCTAAAGCTTCAGCTAAAATGAAGATCAACCATTTGAGACTACGGACAAACAAGTGCATTTTGTGGCAGTAGAGAGATTTCCATAGAGCTGGAATATGATGGTCTGTGACATCTCAGTCTTTTTTTTTTTCCTCACTTTTAAATTTCTGATAAATGGTTGAGTTAAAAGGATTTGCAGTTAGTATTGATAAAATTCCATTTTTCACACAGTATGTGACATCAGTCTTTTTTCTGTCTGTAGCAATTCACATGCATTTTTCTGTCCCCGTACACCGGTTTACTTCATTTTCTGGGCCAACGTCATGCTTCTGCCTTATCATAAAGGCACAGAACTGGAAATCCAAAACCGTAGCCTCTTCCTGGCCAATTCTTAATGACTCATTGAGGTTTTGGGGTTTGTTTCTCTGGTTTAAAAATGGAACTAGCTGGATGGGTTTGCAAAGCATTTAGTTCTTGGAGAAGACAAAGAAATAAAGTTCCATTTCCTTAGTTTTCTACTCTGTCTTGCAGATAAATGAAGTAAACACAGAAATTAATCAGCTTATTGAGAAAAGAATAATGCAGCATGAGCCAATCGATAGTAAATTTTCCTTGTATCGCCAACAGGTAAGAAGGAACAAAATAATTTTTAAGCAGAAGCAGTAGATCAGTTTCAGTCACTGTTTTACATACTGATTTTTTTCTTTAATTTATTTAGCATAAATCAGTAGACACATAATAATAGAGGACAAAACAAACATAAATAGCTGCTGAATGTATGTATGTTTAAGGCTGAAAGCCTTTGCTGACTGAAACCCAATACATTGGGTTTGTATTGACGGCAGTCCTTACGCTGTTAGGTGTTGCCCTTCAGCTGTGTTGCGGTGATCTGGAAGGATCATTTTGGAGGAGCTGTTTTGTTAAAGCTCCAGTGGTGGACAGATTCCTATAAGGCAACATGTGGGCTGCTGCCGTCAGACCTGGATGCAGGGCTTGCTTTCAGTTGTATCGCTTGCTTGTGTTTGACCACATGTGATTTTTCCCATTACATCTATTAAGAAGATATTCTTTGGTTATTCATCTTGAGGTTATAAAATGGTCTTTCTATAAAATAGGCTGTCTGGTCTAGTCGTAGCAAATTCACAAGTTATATAAAGGATTTAGGAACTCTGCGTAAGCTCTGAAAATCGCAGAAATGTAAGTGATTTCTTTTCCAGGCAACCTGTACCGCTGCTAATTTTATTGAAGATTTGCATGATGATGCTTATGATGACGATTTAAAAAATAAAAAGGCTTAAGTAAAATGTAGCAGTGGGAGGAAAAAAATTGTGATAAATGTATGCTGCGGTTCAATCACATATGCAGTATGAAATGTACTGCTTGGTTTTGTAAGAGATGATCTCTTTCCCGAAAGAAAAGACTGCTACGTAATGTGCTGGTGCCAAAGACCAACTGGCTTGTGAAAGAATTGCGTTCAATGGAGGAACCACTCCAGGAGTTCAGGTTGCTGCTGGGCATTGAAAGCATGTGGTTTCACAAAATAATCGTATATATTTTACCACAATTTGTCACTGCAGATATCTCGTGAAGCAAAGAGCTGAGATATTACCCCAGCAGAATTCTGTTAGATATATTTTTAGAAAGAAATCTGGTCCTTTTAACCTAGCCAGTGTGTATTTTGCTTCATTTTTTCTTAAGTTTTCCCTTTCACATGAAGAAACCAACCATGCCTCCAAATTCATGCACATGCATCTAAATTAGTGTGTTGTGTTACTTAAAAATATTTTTAAATAGCATACTTTGGCAAGATAAAAATGCTTTTTTTTTTTCCCCTGAACTAAAGTATACTTATGTTCCCAAATCTGTTAGCTTCTGGTCAAATGTTAGGTACTCTTAAATATTCTGCCTTGTATAAAATGTTATTTTTTTAATGCTTTATCTTCTAGACTCAAAAAAAAAAATCTGTAATCTACACTATTTCTGTACTGTATTGCTTTATTCATTGTCTTCTAGCTATTTGCCAAGATTTAGTGGCTCAGTTCTGCTCCTAGTGTAACATATTTCTGTAGGTTGGAGTAGGATGGAGTTATAAAAATCTGTATTATGACATTTGTGAAATCTTGGATAACTTTCCAGTTAAGCCATGCTGGTGTACCTTATGTATGCACAAAAAGGGACTAAGTAGAAGAGATGGAGGAGCTAAAATGCCTGCCTTTTTCTTCAATGAAGATGAAAAAATGAGCTGAAGAAATGTAAATCTAAAATTTTAAATATATCAACATGATTCTGTGGGGAAAAAAAAAGTATGCTTGAAATCTTGGCCATCCTGAGGAAAGCTGGGAGCCTGCAATTGGCTTGAATGAAGTTGTGGTTTAAACCACTGTCTGTAATGCGTAATTGATGCTTTTTTCTTTGCAGAGACAGGCTCACATTTCCTGTTGAAAATCAGTTTCTGACAGTTAAAATGTGATTTCAGTGGTGCAATGCCTGAAATCTAACAGATGACATTTTACTAATGATTAAACAAGGCGGTTTTTACTTTACTTGTCCATATGCATTTTTAATGATCGTGCAGGCATCTATCATTTCCCGGAAAAAGGAAGCCAAGGCAGAAGAACTTCAGGCTGCGAAGGAAGAGATGTCGAGCACTGAGAGGCAGATGCTGCAGAAGAGCGAGCTGGAAGGCTCTGAAGTTCTGAAAGGGGATGAGGTATGCAGTCTAACAGTGGATATGAGTAAGAGGAGATTTGTAAGAGACAAATCAATTTTTATTAACTTGCAATCTCCTTTTAACTTTACGTTGCAATTACTGCTCCTACAGTATCTTATCCGTTTTTATAGTATGTTGTCAAAGTACATGACCTCAGCATTGCCACAGATTGGCCTCTGTTTTCTTTCAGTGCACGTTTTTTGTCATCAAATTCCAATATTAACATATTTGAAGACTTTTTTTTAAATGTGCAGGTAGCACAATGCCTTCCAATGCTTTCCAATGTTTATACTGCAGCATTGCTTGATTTGTAGCTATTTTCAAATTATTAATTTCAATTACTCACATTGTACCTAATAGATTGAAAGGGATATAGGACTTAACCTTGGGCAGCCTTAACAGTCCAGACTTCGAGTCAAAATAATGTCAATATCATCATAATGGTGTGGTGGTAAATAACTAAGTATAAAGTCAATCAGACTAATTAAGGGATGAGGAGTTCAAGTGATAAGTCATGTAGATTGATTTTATTATTTGATGTATAATTAAAAAGTGCATTACTATCCATTCTCTATATGATACATGATCATAAAGCATAATAGCAGCAATTATCAGAAATGCAGTTAGTTCTGTTCTATTGATTACCCACAGAATTTTTTATTTTAAAAATATTTTCCCAGATCCTTCTGAAGTTTTCCTGCAGTACAGACTTTGACTAGCACAATCAGCATCGCTCGGGCAGAGTTATATTTGAAGCTGTACTGATCAGAGCAGCTTTTTCTTCTTCAGAAGTTTGCAAAGAATAAGGCTGCTGCAGCTGGGTAGTGGTTTGTCAGGAAAATGAATTGACTTAATAATTTTTCTCAGCTTGGAAAAAGCCTGCTAAATGTACTTACAGGCAGAATCACTAAAGCAAAGAGTATTTTAGCTGCCTCATTTTCTGACTTAATGGATCTTTTCATTCCCTCCATATTGTGTTAATTTGCACTGCCATCCTTTGTCGAGAGTTACACTCTTTGCTTTCTTGTTCTTTGTTGCTGTGCTTTTTTTACATACTGCTCAATACAGGGAACACCCTTTGTAGAAGGAACTCCCTTCCTGATCCCGTAGGACATGCCGGCTCCACAAAAATCAGTTTGCTTTTAAAGGAGTTTTAAAGAGTGAATCAAGTATGGAAATGTGTACACTCAGGCATAAAGGCTTCCTGTATATCATATGGAATCCATGCACAGTTCACTTGTGCCTTTTTGCTTTTCTCACCTTCTGTAAATCAAGATAAAAACTACAGGTGGAAGCAAAGGCACAGAGACTTTGAAGAATTAAGATGTTGATTTCTCTTACCATAACATACTATACACATTCCATAGGTGTTCCATAGGTGCCAATAATAATAAAACCACTGCATTCATTTTCTCTCCACTACAAGGTTTTCAAGTGGGCATGTTGCTAAACTCTTTGACAACTTTTTAAGTAAAAATAAAAACAGAAAGCAGAAAATCTGTGTTTTGTGACATGTGATGGGAAGGAAATGTTTAATTAATCAACAAGAATGCATTACCAAGACAGCAACATATGTTTTACATTATCTGTAAATGCACTGTAAGGTAAGAAATAATTCATGTTCTTGCTGTTCTTGAGAGGGACAAGAAACTCTGATACATAGTAATTCAAGGAGAGCAGGGCAGGAGGGAAACGTGGTTACGGAACCTTGTGAGAGGCTTAATAATGAAAAATTCAAGTTAAGTGTCTTACACAGGGAAGAGGCTCAAGACAGAAAAAAGACAAGACCTCTTTTGACCATAACCTGCATTCCTTTTGTTAAAATATGTTCTGCTTTTAACTTGTTAAATCTTTTCAAGTCTTCATTTTGAGGAGCGAAGAATAAATGAGTGAGCATTTAGGACAAAACCATCAGCTTAAATTAAGTGAAATTGTTTGTCTTTTCATAAGAAACATTTCCTGTTTTGTAAAATTCTTTCTGTACATTGGTCCAGGGAAGTCAGTATTATACAATCCGTGTCCTGTTCTTGTTTGTTACTGCATTAGGGATGCTCTAGTGGTATTCACGAGCACCAGTGTAAAGCAGTAAAAAAAGTGTTTCCTATGGCTGAAAACTAGGAAAGGATTTGAATTCTTGATGGTTTTGATAGCTTATTTTTCAAAGGTCGCAGTTTCCTCATCTGGAAAATGGATATAGTGATATTTAATTCTTTTGTAAATGTCTGCTGCCAAATTCCACGTAGGACCTTGCTACTGTAGTCTTTGTATCTCCTTAAAGTACCGTTGCAAACGCATATTATAGAAGCAGTCCTGCTTCAGAGCCTGGGTTGTGAGAAGACAGGACTGAGAGATTAGACAAAGAAGTTGGCTGGGAAGAGGTGATGAAGCAAAAGTGCAGTGAACAGGTTACCTCTCATCAGTGAAGGTACCGGTTCATCACTCGCCAGACCACCTTTTGCTGTAGATTTGTTTCCGATATGTTGTGCTTTTAAATTTGTATTTTCTGATTGAGTGCCCTGTTACTCCAGCTTTGGGAAATCTTGATTAACGTAGCAGTGGTGAGTCACTGGGGCAATACACATGTTCAGTGGGGACAGAAAGAGATTGCATCTTCAGCCTCACTTTGCACTCTGACAGCCGAGAGCCTCCTTATGCTTGCTTGTAGTCTCTCACATTTTACATTTAGTTTCTCCATTTTCAGAAAGGAAGAAAGAGGGGTTTTTAACAAATAGTTTTGCTGTCTACAGTTGAAAACAGGCTTTTAATCCTGCCCTGTTTAACCTATCTAAATGCTACAGTTCAATCAAAGAATTATTTTTCTCCTATGCCCAGTATTTCTCATCTTCTCTTTTCTCACTGTGCTGTATCCTCATATCATGGCACTCACAAGACTTGGCAACCAAACAATCCGTGCCCTCCTAGCTTGTGCTCCCATAGCAGCGTTTCAATCTCCAGTTGAAGTCTTCTTAGCACTTCATTCACCAAAAGGTCAATCCTGGCTTATGTTTTCAGGTGCTAGTGTTTTGCTTGCTTCTGTAATCATAAAAAGGAATGTTACAGCATTCCCGTTGGCTGGAGAGCTTGTACAGCCAGACAAAATTTAGAAGAAACATCAGGGAATAACCGATTCATTTACATCAACCACAGAAAGGTAGGAATAAATTGTTTGCTTCAGGGTTTATGAAATCTTTTTAAGTACTTCAAATAAAGTACGGTGAGCATGGGGCAAAGTTGGCAGGCTCCTAGCTGCAGCTGTCAGATCCTGAAAATTAGGGAATCAAATGTTGACACTTAGAAGGCTAGATGGTTCAATTACAAGTGATCCTAGGTAAAGCTGTGATATTTTTAGCTCTTTACACAATGCATTGTACTTTTCAGAGTTCAGCGTAGGGCCCCGAGAACTGAGACTTTCCCAAGGTATCAGAATAGAATAGTATCATTGCTGTGCTTAGCTCCAGAGTTGAAATGAATATGTTTTTGAGAATGTGGCACAGAAAGTCCTATCAGTTTGTTAACAGATATGTGAGGTTTGCATATTCATTTACATAAGGAGTTTAATTTTTTTCATACAAGTTCTCATCCATGCCTACCTGCCTCCTGGTAGGACAATATAAAAAATGTTTAAATGTGCAAGCAGATAAAACAGTCAGTTTTGGACCATACATCTTGTCACTTTTTCTCTAAGACTGTTGGGTCCATCTGAATCCACTAGAAACTGTTATCTGGGTCCAAACTAGGTGGATGGATTTTTAAGAGAGTAGATATAGAGGAGTTCACAACTCAAACATTAAATGGTTTAAGCCAGGACCCAGGATGTATTATCCGATCAGTTTGCTCTCTTTC